TGCCGTGTTTGGAGTCGGATACTTTTGTACAGCGATTATTTTTGATTCATCTGTCTCGATCCCTTTTTGCGATATTTTGTAACCTAAATATTTTAATTCAGGGGCTGCAAATTTGCACTTTTCGACATTAACTTTTAGACCGGCCTCATTTAATAAAGAAAACACCTGTCTTAAATCCTGTACATGTTGGTCGAGATTATCACTAGTAATAATGATATCGTCTAAATAGATAAATGTGGACTTTCCAAGAACAGGTCTTAACACAATGTCCATGCATCGCTGAAATGTTGCCTGGGGCGCCTGAAAGGCCAAACGGCATACGCAAAAATGCATAAGTGCCAGACTTGGTTATAAAAGCAGTCTTAGGCACGTCCTCAGGCCTGACCCCTATTTGAAAATAACCATTCGTTAAGTCTAAAGTCGTCATAAATTTGGTTGATTTTATGTTCCTTAAAATTTCTTCTATAATCGGTAACGGATATACCGGATATTTCGTTATGGAATTTAATTTACGGTAATCAATAGCGAATCTCCACCTTTTTGGATGCTCCAAAGGATAATCATTATTTTTCTTACATAAAACCACCGGGACTAGCATAACTACTTGAGATGGGCGTTATGATCTTTTTACGTAGCATATCGGTAATATGCCATTCTATAATTTTTTTCCTTATTCTTATCATACCGGTATGGTTTTTGACGAACCGGCAATGCATCTCCGGTGTCAATACTATGGTTAGTAACCTGAGTAAATCCTGGAATATCACTAAATAAGGAAGCAAATTCACTTACCACTTGTCGGATTCTATCTTGCTCGTCATTAGGCAGGTGGTCAAGATTTAACCCTTGGCGGTTCAACCTTTTCTACACGCACTGGTTTCATCGTCAGCTTAAGAGGGACGCTTCATTAAAATCCAGTGTAGCTTGTGCGTCTGAAAGAAAGTCTATTCCTAGTATTAATGTGCTTGCAAATTCTTTACTATAAAAAACATCACCTTTACTTGTTCGTCCTTGATACGGATGTACAAAGGTACTTTACCTACGCACTTACATTGTTCTCCTTGCGCCGCTAATACTGTTGTATTATCCGCATTATATATGCGGTATTTGCGAAAATACTTTCTAAAAAAGACTTCTGCCACACAGGAACACTGCGCGCCGGTATCCAGGAGTGCGGTGGCCGGGATATTATTTACCAAGACTTCAATCTTCGGAAGAGTTAAATTTTTCACCATTACTGTATTTAACTTGTAGGAAGAGGGGTTTTCGTGGCCTTCGGATTTCCGCACCCTCTCGTCAGCAGAAATCCGTTTTAGTTTAAATTATTTTTTCTTTCCGGTGCTTTCCTTCTTTTCTCCACTGGCCTTGAGACTTTTTTCCTGGGTTGCTATTGAACTGTCGACGTTCGCCGGCTGTTTTTGAATGCTCGGGTTTCCTTGCCCACTGATTCGCTTTTTCTCCGTAGCCATGTGCTTGAGTTTGCTGTAGTCTTGGCGTACCAAATTGGTTTTTCGCTGTTGATATTGGCGTCTTCTTTCGACGTCCGCCGTTCTTCTACTTTCAAACTGGATTGCTAGCTCAAATAACTTTTCCAGTGTAGTCGGATTTCTCTTAATTCAATAAAGTCTTGCACTTGGGGTAGTAACCTCGGCAAAATCACTTGAATTATTTCAGGATCCGGACGGTTTCCATACAAGAGCTTGAAAAACGTGAATTTTTCTTAAAATAAAGCTCGAGAGGTTTTCGATTCTTTGTTGATATATACTGAAAAGTTCCTGTTTCTAATTTCGCACGATCCCTTACAACAGGGAAGGCTTTTAGTAGGGCAGTCTTGAAATTTTCGTAAGTATAGGTGGGACTTCCTGCTTGACCCAAGAGACTTCTGCCGATACATTTGAACCAGTTAAGCGCTTGGCCCCTCAAAGCGCTGGTAGCTAAGGTAACTTTTTGAAACTCGTGCACGGGGTAGAGCATGAAGTGGTCATCCAATTTTTCCAAAAAACTGGTTACCCCTGTGAGTTTCCATTAAACGTTGCTTCTGGTTTCATCGAAGCGCGCATGGTCTGGACGATGTAACCCAAATCCTTCCAGGGCGGCAGCTGGCATTTCTGGATTCTGAGCCTGTTTCTGCAGGCAGCACAGGTTCTTCTTGAAACTCGGCCATGGTTATTCTTCTTCGTTCGGGCGCCACTATCAGGTTCAATGTTTCTTCTAACCTTCTTCGGGAACATGCAAGGACCTGACTCGGAACAGAGAGCTTACTAAAGCTATGTTCACTAATTGTAGTAAGTAGACAGGATACAGACGAAGGGTATACAAAACCCTTTATTTTTTTTTCTTTATATACAATGACTTCCGTACTTCGGAATACAATGACCCTCCACTCGGGGTCTAACTTAAAAGATATCAAAATAAAACTAAACTCTAATTTAACTTTAGAATAAGATTGGCCTTATAATAACAGGAAGCGTATGTAGCACAGAGACTGTGAACACTACAATACGTTTAATTTATCAAGAGGATTAAAACCTCTGGCCTGGAAGGCAAAGTAGCAACTGCGTAACTTCTAAGGTAAGCGGCCTGCTTCGAACTCACTGCTTCCTCTCTTCTGCTTGGCAAAAAGGCCACACTTAAATACTTGGCGTTCGCCAGACAAACTTTGCATAAACTCCTTCACGCTTATAATTCTGGCCGGAAGTAGAAAATAAGAAGTGATAGTAAAGATTTAAAAAAAATAAACGTTAGTAAAACTTAAGATCCTTACAAAATTCGACCACATTAGCAGACAAGCATCAAGATTTAAGGTCATGGTGACGTAGGATGGCGGTCTGTGGCCAGCATACCGGACCACTACGTCACCTCCTGCCCACTAACACGAGAGAGGCACATGCCGTTTAACAACACAGGTCAGCATATAAAAGATTATTTATTCGCCAACCAGCAGTAATTAAAAAACTCATGTATTGTAGACAAACTGCAGGCATTAGGCCAGGACTTATATGAGTCGTTTTAACCATAACTCTTCTTTCCACATAACCAACCTATATATCCAATGTACCTATGGCAATGTGCTTATGAATCCAATGGACCTATATCAGCTTTTTGAAAGTTACTCTTACCAAGTGTTTCAATTCTATTCGTGTATGTATAGCCATGTAGTACAACACATGACAATATGCCTTCATTAACTGTCACTCATTCTTACTCATGTCATTAATTGTTATTCATTATTTAATTCATTATCAGTGCATCATCAACAATTGTCACCTACTATTAAGTTATTAACTACCTAGATCAACGCACTTACGTATCCAACGCACTTACGTCATTCATTTAAGTGTACCATCCCTGTTTATGTATATAAAGCCATGTAGGATAACACAGGATTATGAGTTATCCATTCATCGTCATCTTTTGTTTTATTGTCCAAGTACCACTTTCAGTGCATCATTTCTATTAATGTATAAGTGTTTAAGTGTATCATTTGTACTGATATATGTATTCTTATTGTTTATATTCTTTATCGTTACTTCTAACTAATTAATCAAGGTAAAACAAAACTGCTTACCTTGTTCTAATGGGTTCGGCCAGGGCCAATAGGCTGAAGTTCCTCTATGCTGTGCTAACACAAATATATTTAATGAAGACGTTAACGGTTACATAATTTTTACATAATGAAAGGGTTAAATATTCGCACGCTCTCAGTCCCGAGTTCTCGTGATCTCTAGCGATAGTTCATAGTTCGAGATGACGTCACTCAGCCATCGTATCTCAGCAAGAGTTGAGTTGCAACATCCTCCCGCCCGGAAGGACAATTGCCGTAATTGTCCTTATTACATTCCAGCTCCACCGGATATAGTAATTGCACTGGTCTTTTAATCGTATGTCCATTGGGCAAGCGGACAGCACAGGCTCTCACCTTGCCATCTCTCCCAGGAAAGACTTCCATTATGATGCCCATCTTCCACATCAGCCGTGGAATTTTATCTTCATGCACTAATACAATAGTTCCTTTATTCAAACAGGTTCCTGTTTTCGCCAGTTTGGAATGATGAGCAGATTTTAAATTCATCAAATAATCCTGCCTCCATTTTCGCCAGATTCTTTCTACCAGTATCTGTTGATGTCTAAATCGACGTGTAAGACTCTCCTTTGTTGAAGTTAATTTAGAGCTTCCTTGTGGCAATGATAGTAATCGTCTTCCTATTAAGAAGTGACCAAAGGGTTAGAGATTCTGGCTCTCCTAGATCTGAGTATGTAAATGTTAAAGGTCTGGAGTTCAATATAGCTTCCACTTCTGTTATGACTGTCTCTAATTCCCTGAATGTCAAGGATGATTTTCCTAAGATTCTCTTCAGAAGTGCTTAGAGACTGAACCATACGCTTCCAAAAGCCTCCCTATAGTACATTTTCACCTCTTGTTAGTAAACCAGCTGGATTATGTTCACCAGGCGTATATCTCCAGTTCAAGACACCTGAATTCTTCTGTATTTCCTTCACTCTGTTCTGAACGAATGGCTTCCACCTTTTCACATCACTTCTAATCCAGTGTAACGTTATACTAGAATCGGTCCACATATATACAATTAAATCAATGTCCCGAAGTTTCTTTTGAATGTAATTTGACAAGCGGGAGCCTATCAAAGCACCCATCAATTTCAATCTGGGAAGTGATAATTTTTTCAGAGGTGCTACTCGTGATTTTGATGTAATGAAACTTGTATGAATGACTCCATTTTTCGAATAACGAAAATACAGAACAGCCCCATAGGCCTTCTGACTCGCATCTGTGAAACAGTGTAACTGTAAACCATCCTTTATATCCCTTTTCCCAGCACATGCAAACTGATGTCTTGGTATTTCCAAACTAGAAATATGAGCTAATTCATCACACCAGCTTTGCCAATTCTTTCTGAGATTTTCTGGTATTTCAGTGTCCCATGCTATCTTTTGTTCCCATAAATCTTGTAATAAAATCCTAGCTCGAATTGTGTATGGATTTAAAACCCCAGTGGATCAAAGAAACATCCTACAAATCTCAAGATTTCCCTTTTAGTTGGTATGTTATCTATCCTTTTGGCATCTTTTACCAACTCTTCAATTTCTATCAAAAATGTATCATTTGATCTATTCCATATGTATCCCAATACTTTAGAACAAGTCGAATCGTGTGAAAAATCTTCTTCATTCCATACCCTTTGTAAATTCGTTTCATTCGTTTTCCACTTCCGCATGTTAAATCCACCTTCTTTCAGTATGCGTTTAATATGTTCCGATTCCTCGAATGCTTCTGATTCTTCATCTGCTCCAGCGATTAAATCGTCAACATACATATTTTCAGTTAGCATGGAAAATACGTTCGGATACTGTAACTTGTATTTGTCAACATGTACATTAAGAGTTGCTCTGAGAAGAAACGGACTAGATGTTGCTCCAAAAATTACCCTTGTCATACGAAGAGCCTTTATTTTGGTTCCATTTAATTCACCATCGTTCCATAGAAACTTGACTGCGTTTCTGTCTTCATCAGCAAGAGAAATCTGCAAGAATGCTTGTTCGATGTCAGCTGTAAACGCAATTCGATTTTGACGGAACTTAAGGAGCAATTCCAGTATGTCTGGACACATCTTAGGACCTGAATGTAACAGTCATTTAATGACAAACAATTCTCCGCATGTGACGAAGCGTCAAAAACCACACGGAGTTTTGTAGTTTCCTTTTTTTCTCTTATAACGGCTTGATGCGGCATAAAATAAGTTTTTGGTCCAATTTCAATGTTAGTCTCTTCGGCGATTCCTTCTTTTAAGTACCTATCAATTACTTTCGTGATATTCTGTCATAGAACTGTTGATTATTCTGAAATCTACGACTTAAACTCTTAAATCTAATTTTAGCAATCTCCAGATTATTCTCCTAGCTCATTTGAATTATGATTCCAGGGAAGGCGCACAATATAACGATTGTTTTCAAATTTCACAGATTTTTTGAAATTATCGAAAACTAAATTATCTTCTAATTCGAGTTCCTTATCCGAATTATAATTTATCCCCATAGAATCGAGCTCCCAGAGATTTCTTCAGCAAACTAGACAGTGATTCGTTTCTGTGTATCTTTATTATTATGAACCACAACCTTCATCGTATTCACATTAGTTTGTGAAATTCCGTAAGCCCTTTCGGTTCCACTAATGGTCCAACCCAATTTTGTTTCAGCCGCTACTAAGGAATTAGACAGTCTGTGAACCTTACCCGTAACTATCTTCCAACAAAAATCCGCTCCTATCAACAAAGAAATTTTCGGCGGTTTATTCCCTGGTCCCCATTCATCGGAAAGTTGTATGCCCTGTTTTTTAATAAGATTAACTATTTCATTTCTAAGGAAATGAATATGTGATCCATTAATGACAGGAATAATTAAAGCTTCTATTTTGATTTCATATCGATTCTTCGAATTACGCAAAATGAGCCTGGTTTTTTTAACATTCTGCGCTTCAGACGTCGTGCAGCCGAAAGAGAATATTTTTATTTTTTCTTCTCCAATAACGGGAAGTTTTAATTTCTTACAGATGTCCTCTCTAATAAATGTTCGCTGCGATCCTAAATCAAACAACAAGCGAACGCTTTGCTGGCGCCAATTGCCTGTGTTTATAATTTCAGCTCGTGCTGTCAGAAGAAATGAGTTATTTGCTGTTGCGCAATCGGAAACAGAAGGAGACTACTGCCCCTTTGGACGGGACTCTTGTCTGACGCATTCGTTTCGTCAGAGTGTATCAATGTATGATGTCGCCGATCGCAAATACCACCACGAGTTAGTTTCGATTTGCACATCCTAGCTAAATGGCGTCTTTTGAGGCACCTGAAACAAAAACCCCTTCGCCTTAACCCATCCTTTTTCTATGGCACAGTTTTTTTGACATGATTCCGACGTATGATTTTCAGAACAGAATAAACAGCTATTAGATAGCAATGTGTTTAACGCTGCCGCTGAAGGAATTCTACCCTTATTATACTCCCGATTTCTTTCGCTGTCTCGAAAACGTTCTCCAAACTGCCGCTTATTTTCAAAATGGGATTTCTTTTCAGTGACTTCAGAATCTGTTGGCTTAATTAAAAATCCTGTACGTTCTCGACTTTCTATTTCTTTTCTTAGAAAATGGTTAGCAAATTTCGTAATTTTTGTCTGATTATCATCTTCATATTTCCTATTAAATTCTAAGTGCTAAATCATTCGGAATCACCTTTATTAATATCGGATACAATAAGGTACTGTACGAATCCGGTAAAATATTACACGATTCTAATCCTCTAATTTGTACTTCACAACGATCATATAATTTTCGAAGTGCTGTCACATTCGCAAGACCTTTTAACCGGAGTCAGAGTTAATAAATTGTTCATGTGGGTATCTATTATTAGTTCTTTGCGTCCGAAGCGATCTTTTAATATTTTCACAGCCTTCTCGTAATTCTCTGCTGTTAACGTCAACCCTTGTATTGCAGTTTCTGCATCGGAATTAAGAATTGACTTTAAATAGTTAAATTTATCTACGGCATGTAGACTTTCGTTTTCGTGTACAGCTGTCTCAAATCGTGCCCAAAACCCGGGCCAACTGCACACGTCCTTTCCCGAAAATGTTTCCAGGGCCAATTTCGGGAGTTTAATTTTGTTCTGCGATTCAGTGACATTTCCATATGAAGTAGAATTAGCGCTATGTGGATTAGTATCTAAATATCTTTTCGCGCGTAATTTCCAAAATAATAATTTTACTTTTATACTCTTTTCTAGAGATTATCTCATCTTCTAAATTTGTTACATCAATTAAAGTTTCAATACCATTATCCGCTAAGATTAGTTCTTCTTCTTTACTAATTAACTGAGCACCGTTTCTTCAATTACATTTTTATCCCCCTCATTAGCAATTTCTGTTTCTATTTTATTTATTAGCCTCGTAACTACTGCTCTTATAGCAGATCGTTTCTTTTTTAATTTTTCTAAATCCATGTTTTTGCTTAAGCAAAATCTATTAAATTTCAGTTCAAATTCAACCCAATGGCCCCACGTTATGGCGCCACAATATAACTATTTTATATTCTTTATCGTTACTTCTAACTAATTAATCAAGGTAAAACAAAACTGCTTACCTTGTTCTAATGGGTTCGGCCAGGGCCAATGGGCTGAAGTTCCTCTGTGCTGTGCATCTGCAAAATCTTGAGAGGGATAATCTATAAATTATAAACTTTCTTAACACAAATATATTTAATGAAGACGTTAACGGTTACATAATTTTTACATAATGAAAGGGTTAAATATTCGCACGCTCTCAGTCCAGAGTTCTCGTGATCTCTAGCGAGAGTTCATAGTTCGAGATGACGTCACTCAGCCATCGGATCTCAGCAAGAGTTGAGTTGCAACATGTATAGCCACATAAGATAATAAGCGATTATGTGTAATCTTTAATTGTCCTCTTTCACACTAATGCACAATTATAATTCTCAGTGTATGATTTCTATCAACGTACAGGTATCCAAATGTATCATTTCTATTGATGTGTGCATAGCCCAGTAGAATAATACATGATTATGTGTTATCAATAATCGTCATCTATCGTATTAATGTGCAAGTATTATTATCAGTGTATCATTTCTATTAATATATGGGTGTCTAGATTTCAAATCTATTAATGTATGCATGCCATATAGGATAATGCATGATTCTCCGTTATCATTAGTTGCCATCTTCCGTATTAATCTGCAAGTATCATCATCAGTGTAACATTTCTATTAATGTATAAGTGTTTAAGTGTATCGCGTCATGTTTGGCTACGTAGGATACTACACGATTATGTGTAATCTTTAATTGTCATCTATCATTCTCAGCGTGTCATTTCTATCAACGTTTAGGTGTTTAAATGTTTCAGTCCTATCGATGTATGCACAGCCAAGTAGGATAATACATGATTATGTGGTTACATTTATCCTCATCATTCGTATTACTGTGCAAGTGTCATTATCAGAATATCATTGCTGTTAATGTATAAGTGTTTATGTATATCATTTCTCGTAGTTTATGTATAGCCATACGGTATGATACACGATTACGTATAATTATTATATGCCATCTTCTGCATTACTGCACAAGTAACATTATCAGTGTATAATTTTTATTAACGTATAAGTGTTTATCGTTTGCTTGTCTCATTAACTACTTAGGCCAATGTATATATGTATCCAATGTACCTATGCCAGCCAATGTACCTATGTATGTAAATTTTTATTAATTGTAGTATGTTGAAGCAAGCATATATGCAAACGCCTTTGTTTGGCCACGTCAAAAATCTCATATTCTGCATTAACAAATTCCCGATTCGTGTTGCTCTAGATAGGTGTGGGTACCGGAAGACACCCGATTTGTCATACAAAGCCGTCCGGGCCCTGCATTCACCTGTCACCTGCACGTAGGTACAGACTAAAAGGACTCCTATTCCAAAACGGATTGCGAAATGGATTGAAAATAGCCATTTTCGTGACATTTTCACATACGTACGTATGTATCTCACATAACTCAAAAACGATGAGCCGTAAAACGTTGAAATTTTGGATATGGGACCGCTATAACATCTCTCTTTGTGCACCTGTCTTTTATATTGTAATCGACAGTACCAGTATATGCATATACTCATCATTGTTACCCGGCTTAAAAGTCCTTACTCGGACTTTATTTTTGCAATCATTGGTCGTAATCATATACTTGCAATTTTAGAAGTGTTTTAAATGACGAAAATATTCATGTTTTGGCAATTTCAAATCTAAAATAAATTAATTTTGGACAAGTAACGAAACGACTCCCGTACGACAAAAATGGACCGGAATATTTAATTTCAAAATTCGTAATGTTGGAAGTCATTTTCAACTTTCTTTGATGGATCGGTTGCTTAAGTTGGATTAATTCGAGGAAATAAATATCAATGAAGTGCGGCCAAAAATGTGTATAATATAATAGGCGTACAAGGAAGTCATGTGGTGTCCACATCAGACTTTTTTAAGCTTTATTTCCCTAAGGTGGTATGTGGCTCCACCCCCTCCCCAAAAAAGAAAAAATTATCAGGGTTCCGTGAGTCCTCAAAGTTTGAAGACCGCTGCCTTGCGTACTTTGGCATATTCTAAATAATCTAATCAATATACATTTGTTTATCAATGGTCTTTGAAATATTTACATTAGAAATGGTCGTTATGAGAGAGATTAGTATTTAAGACACAATAACACGCCGAACAAATACTAATTCAGAAGTCAAACAACAAAAATCAGCGTTTTTGAAAATATAATGCTGATTTTTGTTGTTTGACTTCTGAATTGGGTTAGTATTTATTTATCCAGATTGCTTCGCAATATTTTGTTAAATTTTACAGCAATAAAATTGTTACTCTCATCATAACTGTTCCATCTTACGAAGGGCTTATCAATGCTATTGCTATTAATGAATAAAGTAAACTCGAGGTTATAAATTTAAAACCATCAAACAAGTAACAAATAAATAAATATTTTAAATACTTAAGTAAATAAAATAAATAAAAATCTAAAATAAAAGAAAATCTGAAAGGTTCAAATTTTAAATTACATCCAAAGGGGCG